TAGATGGTTTTTATTAACCAGAAAGAAGCACATTCTATCCTAACTGGATGGCTAGGTTTATAGCAGTTAGAGATGCTTAAACCCCCCCAGCCAATGGCTGGTCTTTTCTCACAGCTGGTTGATTTTAATGACAAACTCAACTGACACACGATTTACTGAACTAACAGAGCACAACTACCCGAACATTCACCATGGATGCCCCTTCGCTCAGAACATGTACTGCATTTGATTTCATGAACCCGACAGGCTCCAAACAGCAACCGCCCCGAGTAACCCTTGTGATAAGGACGCAGGCAGTGACAGCATACAAACAGCTCATCCCCACAGGCCGTGTCAAGACTCCGACTGGCAAACACTGATGTGGAGACAGGACAGGGCTGAGGGGAAGGGAAAGGGGAAAACATTCAACCTCACACCAGGTGTTAAAATGAGTGCATTCATCCACAGGGAGGATTTCCACTCTACTGTCTCCATATATGTTGAAAAATGTCTTCAGGAGAAACAGTTGAGATGGGAATAGCTCAGAGTAGGTGACAACCAACCTGGAAGAAACACTATCAGGTGTCCCTATCTTGGAAGCTAGTTCCCATCACAGGAGGCAGGGGAGGTGCTGTGGAAGTTTCCAGGCCAAGTTGGTAGTGACTTCAAAGGCAGATCCTGCTGATAACAACCCACCTGGGAACAAGGAGAGGCAACGCATCGCTGCCAGCGCTCCCCCCTTAGCACGGGTGCTCTGAAGGTCACTGCAACCCATCTATGACAATATGAGTGGGTGACCCAGTAGCTGGGTGGGAGGGGAGAACAGGGCAGAATGTCTCCTCAGATTGGCAAAAAGTGTGGGGCAAGAAGGAAAGATGTTCAGGCAGGCCAATGATTCTATGATGGTCTTGTGAAAGCCAGGCCTTCAGGTGAAATATTTCATATTGATAAGCTGAGTGCTAGATTTGACCAGTGAGCCTTTCTGCTCAGGATTTCAAGGAGCGCTGATGACTCGCTGGCATCTTCCATTTAATCTATTTCCACACCGCTAATGAACACACCTAAAGGCCCTGAGTATAACAAGAAGACAGTGTATTCTAATTATACTTTGAGGCCCGTTTGCTAACGTGTGTGTGGTTGGTTTGCCTACTTAGCATAAAAAACAGACATAATTGAGCTATACATAATGCACATCAGTCAAACTGTCAAGTTGCTGAATTAAGAAAACTCAGGCAAGTTCTTAACTGCAGAGGCTTTCTGTTTCACAACTAAATATTTCAATTAAGAGGTGGAACAGAAGTAAAATAAACCATAATTTTAGTGACAGCCCACTCCTTGGACATTCTGATATCACCAGTGGATTTTTTAAAAATCCATTTCATTAAGTGCTATGCATGCAGGAAAGAAAGAAAATATTTTTCACTTAAAGCAAAACAAAAATAAAATAAAAATTAAAAAACCCAAACAAATATTTCAATGAGCTCTTTCTCCTTTTTAGGGGGACACCTAAATGGTCCTAGGAAGGAGTTTAGAAAAACATTATTTTTGATTTCAAAATAGAGATAAGGATATTAACTGCTTTTTGAGCTAAATCTTAAACTTCTTAGGAAGCCAGTTTGGTTAAACCATTCAGCTATTCCTGCTGGGATTCAAAACAAAATAAAACAACCATGAATTCAGTATTTAAAATACTTAAAAATGATATGTTTGTCTAAAATATAATAGAAAATCCTTTTCTCGTTTGCATTTTTTTCTTTTTTTCTCTTTTCTCTCTTTTTTTTTGCTTTTGTTTTTGTTTTGATTTTTTTAGATCATATATCCAAGTTATGAGTTTTCCTGGAAACTCAAAACTTTCTTTTTGAAAGCACTGCATACATGAAAAGGTTGTTGATAAATATTGATTTAAAAAGCAAGTTATTAGATAAAACTAAAACTAGTTATAAAAACCATGCTTCATGACCCTTATATTTTCTTTTTTTTCTCCAAAATAGATTATTATACTATAGTGAGAGAAAAAAAATCACATCCTTCCCTATTCTGAACTCTTAAAAAAGCTACACCTTTTGTAAAATACTGTTCTTTTTAAATCCCATAATCTTCCCCTCTCTCTGTCTGTCTCTGTCTCTGTCTTCCTCTCTCTCCCTCACACACACACACACACACACACACACACACACACACTCATGTTTGGAGGTCAAGCATTCACGTAGAGATGAAACACCAGCATCTGCCTAACCACTAGAGAGAAACATTAGCCCCGTTACTTGTGAGTTGTGATATGAAAACCTTCGCCAAGTAAAATGGCTTGTTTCAAGGAGGCACAACTGTCTGCTTTTTATAATGGGAAAGTCCAGAAAAGTTGCTGAAAATATAAACCAGGATTATGCAGAAGAGTGGAATAGCCATATCCAGGGGATTCTTTCAATAGCTAAAGAGTGCTTTAACTGTGGTGGAAGGGCTGAGAGCAGCTCGATGGAAACATGAGGTTTTCTTTCTCTCTTTGTTCCTCCAGTAGTTTGTCTACTTTCACCCACCAGAACAGCAAAGATGGTTCCATAGGCTTAAGGAAAAAAACAATAATAAATCTTAGGCTATTAGCAGCTGATGACTGAACAATGTAATCCATGTAGTGAATAGAGCCCTTCTGCATTATTATATAGTACATGGATTTTCAACATTATAGACAGGCCATATAAAACCAGTTGTAATTCGAGGGTGTGATGTTATAGCCTTGCATCGTAATTTGGACTTTCACAATTGAGGCTTATAAAGCTCCCTTCCCTAGTGTCTCCACAGCTGGCATTCAACAGTGCTTCACCTATGGCTAAGCCACCTTTTATTTGTTCTGATTATTAAAAACATTAAATCAGGCACATTAAACATCTCCTGGTTACTCTTGTGTAAAAAGAAAGAGTTGAATGAACTCCAGCTGTGGGTCACATGCAAGGGAAGCCATGGCTAGGTCCACATTAGCTTTTTTTTTTCCTTTAAACATTATTTTCTTCTTTACATGCAATGCTAAAGGGAAAAAATAAAACAGAAAAAAGTAACAATAAAAAGTCAACAGGGAGCCTAGGTAAAAGTGGAAATGGAAAGGAAAATTGGGCAGTCAAGGAAGTGGACCAAGAGGAGGAGGAGTGGCGAGATCCTTGCTGATTTTATTTGGACATCAATGGAGCTTCTACTAATACTTTTTTAATAGTAAGAGAAACAGTTGTGGAAAAGGCTCTATGTTAACCTGGCATTCTGGTGACATCATAACACAAACTCAACATGAGTTATGATGTCATCAGACTCCACCCCCCAGTCGCCTTGCAATCTGTTTACTGGACATCTGTGTACGCTTCATTTTGGCTAAAAGCTGCGGTTTAACAAGATTCAACACTTCAGGCAAAGGGTTTGACTGATAAGAATGAAACCATGACTATGTACAGAAAGAGTTCAGTTTATAAACAAGTAACTGGTACCAGAAAATTGGAGAAAAGCACCAAAGCATTTCCCAAGCTGATAGATTATTAATTGCATAACTCCCTTTTTTCTTATATAACTAAGTATAAAAGACAACATTTCCATAATAACTATAAAAATGAAAGCCAGTCTTTGAAGGGCTGAGGAGTCTTCCAGGTCTGAGTTAATTCTAAAAATGCCCTTAAAAGAAAGGACGCAGAATATGCAACAGCTCTTCTTGAAGGCAAGGTGTGACCCACAGATTTTAGAGGATGGGGTTCAGGTCTGTTCTGTGAGTGGTGAGCTGGCTGAGGGTGGAGCTTCCTACCACCTCGCTGACTGCCGAGGAAGTGGTGATGGTGTTATGCTGGATGACCTGCTGCTGCGAGCATGTGGGGGCGGGACTTGCAGGAGGGCTACTCTCTGGACCTAGGAAAAAGCATACACACACACACCAATATAGCTCTTTCCTGGGGTGGACTCGGAGACTATTCAAAAATATTGCTAGGTGTTTGCTAGAAATAGAAGTGTTTCACGCATTTTCTCTGGGAGGTTAATTTCAAAACTTTCAACTGTCGGTCGCAAAGCTATGCCTTCCCATAGTTTACAGCTACCAACAAAGCCATGCCTTCTAGGTTAGCAACATGACTGGATGTGTTTGAGTCACAGCCTGTGAAGTCCTTATCTTGTCTTTTCAAAGAACCATACATATATCAAATGTGGAAAAATACTCACATGTGGTGGGAGAATCTGTGCTGCTCAATCTAAAAAATTATTTGAAAAGAAAATGACCTTCAGCTGTAAATCCCCTCTCCTCCCACTGTTCCCTTCTGAATTAGCATTGAACCTAGTGACGTTCCAGGTGCTGATATTGGGATCTAGATAAAGGGATCCACTTTAAGTAAACTGAGACAAGCTCACTTGCTTTTCAGCCCAGTGAATAACATGCAGTGTATGCTGGGGTACTGGATATGATTCATCTGAAGCCTATTTCCCAGCCCATAAAAAACTGCTAGCCCACTGGTAATTGGGCTCCTACTGGCTGCAAAATTGGAATTTGGTGGGATTTTTACAACATGAAATGCCAGGGAACATCCAGCCATAAATGACCAAGAGGTGGTGGGCGTGGTGATGAACAGGGGTCAGAAAAGAAGGATTCCCCCTGGTGCAGTAGTCTGGCAGCTGCTCAAGAATTTTAGCACCTCATCCGCCTAGGTGTGCAGTCTAGGCTTTACTTTTGTTTTTTTTCAATAAATCCAATGTGAAATCAGTGGCAAAAACCTGGCCACTTAAAAAAAAAGCAAAAAAGTCAATGACTTACTGAGATATCCTTGTGATTCTTTCTGCATGGCTGTTATAGGGCAGTCTTTATGCGTTAACAACAGCTGCTTCAGCTGTGCCACCTCATTCTTCAACATGGACACTTCGTTCTGGAAAGAGACAGATCGGCATCATGTTAAGAAGACCAGAGAAGACAAACCCAGGGCCCCATGTGCTTTCAGCACTGCACTGGCACAGTTCTGTTACATCTGAATTACGGAACTACTGCCATTATTATACAACGGGGTTCACCTGAAGACGTGTCGCTTGCCTTCAGCTTGTCCCTCAGGCTTCCCAGGGGCTTTCTGAAGAGACTAGGTTTTCAGTCAAGAGCTGAATTCTATGAAAACTTTCCCGGTGGGGACTCTTCATTCTACACTGACTGGGTGACTCTAGGCAGGTAACATAGCCCAGCTAAGTTCCAACAACCTTGGATGGGGATGAAAATAGTAGGAAGTTCTTTGAGTTGTTGTGGGGATTAAATGAGGTACTAGAAGCAAATATGCAGAGCAATGTCTAGCATATACTATGCATTCAGTAAATTTAGCTCTCATAGCAATCATCTTCACGCTACCTTACAGGCTAATACTGATCATGAGTAGAAAGTGAAGGTGAGAGACACTGGGAAGAATTGTGTGGCAGGATGAGTGACTTCAAACTTAAATGCCCTCAGCATAAGCTGATTTCCCTCAAAGAATTTCTTAATAGGCTACAATTCAACAGAGCATGTCCCTATGCCTGATGCCACTTAGGAGAAGGCATGGAAGGATTCGGCGCAAATGCTGGTCTTCTACTAGTGGAATCGGGTTAGTCCAAAGGACAACAGAGTTTAGGACCATGATGGAATTAATTTGATTGGTTCATTAATTAGTTTGGCTAATTTCAGTCTATAAACTCCTTTCCCCCTCAATATCAGGGTACTGTGGATTGTGTATGCATCTTAAAAATTGACTTAGGTAAGTGTCTCACATCTCCACTTTATGTAGTAATTTTATTTATTTATTTTTTTATGTAGTAATTTTAAAAGACAGGTTCAGGGTTCATAATTTGTGGAATAATGTACATGGCACCATTGCTTACAAGCACAGTTCTCTACTACTATGGGGATTCTTCCATAGATACAGTGCGAAATGATTAGCAGTTGACTGAATCTGAGGATGCAGAACCACAGATACAGAGGGCTGACTATGGGACTTGAGCATAAATGGATTATGGTATCTGAGGCTAGCCAATACCCTGCTGATACCCAGAGACAACTATATAAATGTAGGACAGACTGTTCCAAGGTGCTTCCACTTGATAAAAGTAAACTGTAAATGCGGCACTAGCTCACATAAGCCGTTTTACAGTTGTGATAAATACTACCCTCTCTTTGACCAGTGTTCTTTGTGGCTGCCGCGCATTATATGCCACATGAAAGAGACTTTAAAAAAGCATGCACACAGAAAAAGGTGTTTTAACATTGCTGTCATTAAGTTGTATCTACACTTTCAATATGAACTTGGCTTTTCAGGCATGTATTTATCACCTAGGAAAGTAAGTTTGGAATTCTAGAAGTTAATTAAAAAATTTTTTGGAAACTTGTTTCAAAGAATACTTCCTATTTCCAAATTCATTTGCAAAATACATTTTAAGCAATCAAATGGTGACTAGCATAAATAAAAAAAATAATAAAAATCTTATCTACAAAGGCTTTTCTCTTTCACTTCTGAACTAAACAAAATAGAAATGTCTATCAGATGAAAGGCTGGACGGAGGAATCAACTAGGAGACTGGGGTAAACATAAATACACTACTATATACAAAATAAATAATAAGGACCTACTTTATAGCACAGGGAACTCTACTCAATATTCTGTAAAAACCTACACGGGAAAAGAATCTAAAAATGAACGGATATACATATATGTATAATAGAGTCACTGCTATACACGTGACACTAACACAACATTGTAGTAACTATAATAAAAATTTTGAAAGAATGCCTATCTGATAAATTAGCATTAATGATGAACACGTCACTTAATTTCACAGGAAAATTGCTCTTAAATTTGAGAACATTCAGGAAGGTGAGCTGTGCTTCCACCTCCAAATAAGTGTGATTGATAATGGGCCCTGTCAAAGCCAAAAGTGACCCTTGTCACTTTGGGGGTCAATAGGACAACTTTATTTATAGGACAATTTATTTCAGCCTTAAACATGATTTTTTTTCCCCCTCTGATTTTATGCTCATTTAAATTCAGTCTTCCTTGCTTTTCCCAGGTCTCCTTCTGCTTAAAATAGCCTGTGTAAAAGAAAGTTACTTTTAGACCATCAAATAGAAGGCAACCCTTGGTTAAAAACAAAACAGACAAAAACTGAACAAAAAACGAGAAAAAGAAAACTAAGACGTATGAATATGTATATACTTGGCCTCAAAATGAAGTGTAATTATTTTAGAGGCATTTTTGTCTATGGATAGCAAAGCACTTTATTAATAAACCAATATGTCATAAGTATAGAAGCTGAAGCCCTGGGGGTAGTGAGAGTCTGTAAAAATATAGCAACTTGGAGATGACTAACCATTATTTAAAATCACTGTGATGATTGACCATCATTTAAAGATATATGTGAATATGGACATATTTCTTAATGTAATATATAATCATTTAGCTATGTTATAATTGGAAAATGAATGTCACTTAATATTCTCCATAGACAGAACTATTAGCCTCTGTCTAATTTATATCATGCACACATAAGTATGATGCTGAGAAGGATTAAATAAAAGTCTAATGGCCATAAAAATAACAGAAATTCATGGGGGAACTTCAAGCAGAAAAAGGAACTCTCAAATGAGGGTTGAGAATAACAAGGTTTGGCTTCCCCAATTGCTACACCAACCTAGTGTAAAACAAGGTGGTTGGACTAGTTTTCTAATTACTTTCTGTAAGATAGTTTTTTATTCTTATTTCCCAGACCTGGGATTGAACCTGTGTCCCCTGCAGTGGAAGCATGGAGCCTAAACCACTGATCTCTAGGGAAGTCCCAGTTTTTTATTCCATGTTTCTGTATCGCTTTCTATTGAGAATGCTAATTACCTCATAATCTAATGAAGGTCTCCATCTTGATTTTTAATTCACTAATTAACTGCTTTTGGTATTCTCAAATGGGCTTAGACATCAAGTCTCATATTTCCTAAAGGAGCCAGTTCTAGCATCCCCTTTATTTCCACATCTTATTAGGGCAGATTCCAAAGGAATATTTATGGTGTCACTTTTGTGGAAAATTTCAAGTCCATATCTCACATGTACATTGTGAGAGTCTATCAGAGCCTTCCTCAGCTTCCATAAGGGAGCCTCTGAGTTAAGAAAGGTTGAGAATCACTGCCCTAGAGGAAGCAGAGTTCACTGTGCACACGCATCATCATTCCATATTGAGAGGTACCGACAGGTATCACTCTATACTGATAGACCAAATGACATAGGAGATACACAAACACGAGACTACATTTTAAACAAAAATTCTTTTCAAGGTAACATTACTAGAAATTACCTTGAATACATTTTGGAAGAGAACAATCAGACAGCAAATGTTTCAAAATGCATGAAAGAAATCAAAAGTGGCCTGCAGTTCTGGTACAGAAATTAAGAAAAACACACACACAAGACTTCTGCAGGCATTTTCTTATTCTGAACTGAGGCAAATCAAAATTTTTTTTACTCCCCTGTGTGGGTTATAACTATAGGTCTTCATACATAAGCACTTTGCAAGAGCAAAGTATTAATAATAAGTATTGAGGGGCTTCCCAGGTGGCTCAAAAGTAAAGAATCTGCCTGCAACGCGGGAGACCTGGGTTTGATCCCTGGGTTGGGAAGATCCCCTGGAGAAGGGAATGACTACCCACTTTAGTATTCTTGCCTGGAGAATTCCATGGACAAGAGGAGCCTGGCGGGCTATAGTCCATGGGGTCACAAAGAGTCAGACATGACTGAGAGACTAACACTTTCTTTTTTAATTATTGATTCTCCTGCTGAAATCAGCCTTTATTTCTTTTTCTTTTTTCTAAACCAGTTTGGGTTTGCTACTTAAAAGGTTAGCTATTTAAATAGGGACTGTGAGAGTATAGATGTGGTTAGATTAATCTGTTCTTAAATCCATAAAGTTGCCTTGGGATGAAGTAGCACCCCTATAGAGACATTCAACACTATAGTAACGTACTTGAAACAAGGACTCCAAGAAGTCCCTATTAACTACATTTTCAGTTTTTGGCTTTGGGGGATGTCATTTTGTTAATATGATAAACTCAGAATGCTTTTTGATGCAAGCAGTAGTCCATGCCGAAAACATAATTATCAAAATGATCCCTACAAAATAGCCCCCCTGCCCCATTGTTTTTTTTTTTTTTCTCTTATAGATTAACTGAGGTCAGGATTTGTTCATTCTAAACCAAAAGACTTTCAATTTGTACAGCAACAGTTCCCATCTGGCCTTTTCTCTTGCCAAGTCCCAAACCTGGGCTTATGTGTCGAAAATTTCAGCAGCGACTTAGGCCATGTGTCTTTGCACTGAAAAAAAAAAGCAATTATTTCCATGGGCAACCAGATGATTTCCATATCATCTACTGAACACAAGCAATCCACTGAGTACCACATTAGCAGTTGGTGAAGTTAGAACTGATCTTAGCCACTCTCTCAGTGAAAAGAATGTGGATTCTTTCATAGTTTAAGAACTTTCTAGAATGAAAGATCACAGAGCAATGGTTTAGGTCAATAAGCCTTGCTTGGGCCTTCATCCTACTACTTGCTTGTTGTGTGACTTTCGGGAAGACTCCTCATGTCCTCCAAGCCTCAGTTTCTTCCTAAATAAAATGTAAAATTGGTGGTTTTTAATATTCCCCTCAATTCCTTTACTTGCATTGACCTCTTGGGCAGAGATTTGTTGTGAGACAAGGAAATGAAGTTTGGGAGTTAATTTTGTTTGCTCAGCTCTGATTTTTCCAATCTGAAGCTCTGCAGCCTAACCAGAAGGTTCTATGCTGGAAAACAACTCAAAGGTGGCAGCTGGCCATCCAGACCTTGGATATTCCTTTTGGCGAGAGTTTGTTTGTTTAGCACCTTCCATTTCTGTTTACTTAAAATTTGACTCACTGGATCAGCCTCAAGAGAGACACCTTTTTCTTTTGACAAAGGTCCAGTGAGAGGGAGAGGGGTCATTCAAAGGTGGCAGAATCTGCATCTCCTCCCCAGCATCACATGGCCTGATATAGAGCTCTCAGCATCCCCGAAGACATGGAACTCTTGTGGTTTCTGTCCCTCTGAAGCAAAGCAGTGGTTGGAAAACACCAACAACTCAGCCTTTTCAGAGACTGTCCTTTCTGAGGCACTGCTTTAACAACCAAAAATATTGGTGCCTGTTGAATGAGACTTTTTTTCTGGTTTTCAGAAATCAGATTTCTAGAATCTTTTATCCTTAGCCATTTTGGCTCTTAGAATGTGATAATTAATAGATTCTGTTCTCATAAAGGGTATGTTTACCTTATATGTTAATACCTTATAGGTTAAGTAAACGCTAAAACATATATGCCTTATATGCCTATGTCAAGGTGTGAACCCATCTGACCTCAAAGTAACCAGCATCCTTCCTCTCCCTGGCTCTCTGCTATGAACCCCCTGCCTCATGTCTTCAGGCTCTAGGGTGACAGTCAGTACCCTGGAGTCATTCTGCAAAGACTCATTTTAGTCAAAATTGATATAAAATTTCTCAGCATCTGATTACATGTCAGCTGGCTACTCAGGGCTCCTCCATCTAGCTCAGTGGGTCTCAATCAGGGGTAATTTTAATCCCCCACAGAGGATATGTGACAATGTCTAGAGGCTTTTTGGTTGTCAAAATTTAGGGGTGGGGTGGAGGGTGCTACTGATATCTAGAGGGTAGAGGTCATGGGTATTGGTAAATATGTACAATATACAAGAGATAACAAAGAATTATTGATTATTATTATTCTCGGTAATAGTGCCAAGACTGAGAAAACCCACACCCATTCACGGTCCTCTTGCAGACCTCAAAACTGGTAGCAAATTCCAGGGATGCTCACATTTCAGTCATTAGAAAACCACTGCTGTGATATTTGCTAGGTCACATTCACCAGAACTTTTATTTACTTAACATGTTTGTACAAATTAACTCATTTTTTTAATGATTTAGCCTGGCCCTGACCAAAAATAATCTGTGAAATTGAAGTTTTGATGTTCTGATTACATTTTTTAATACACATAAAAATTAAAAGATGATTATTAATGTTAAAAGTGCCTACCCACATTCCACCTAAAAGCTTCTCACATATGACTATGCCTGCCAGATTCTAGAATTACAGACTTTCAAGTCAGAGTGGCTTCAGAGATGTCTGTGTTCAGCCAAACTCTGACTCTGTGGCTTGATTCCCTTAAATCACATTTTGCCAAGTAGTCAGGCAGCTAGTTCTTGGACACTCCAGTGATGGGGAGCTCATTCATTTATTCAACAAACAAATATTGAGTACAGACACTCAGGAACTCTTCAGGCCAGACCTAACACTAGAAAAAGGGGGTAGGTGGTCAGGGAAGAGGGTAAGAATAGAGTCTCCACCTTTATCCAAGGTTTGTACAAGCTAGTGGGACTTCCCCCATATCTACTGTATATGTTTCCCAGTTTCTTCTTCATGTCCATCATTAAAAGAATGATAAATTTGGGGGGGGGGCGGAGAGTGAACATCCATAAATTACAAGAGTCAGTCCATGAATAACCTAAACTTTCTTGTACACTTTCAATTTGTACACTGGATGCCCTAAGGTCATTTCCATTTAATGGAATTAAACATGCAAAGGCTTTGGAGGTTTGGCACCCTAATTGCTCCTTTCTAAGGATCCACAGAGGATGTGGGAGTGGGTAAAGGTGACCTATGATACTCCCGAGGAGCAGACTCTCTCTCTTTTGGGCATTTTCCCCCCTTCTTCTCTCCAACTTTAGCTGTCATCTCTACTCCTGGAAGCACTGGGCTCTAATCTACAATTTTAGATCCTGGAAGCACTGGGCTCTAATCTACAATTTTACTCTTATCCTTGGACTGCTTGTCACATATCTAATACTTGCTTTTTTCTTGTGCTGGTGAACAGTGTCCTCCTTTCTGTGTGAGAACAAATGCCCTGAATTTCATCTTTTGTATGACACGAAGCCTCCTGGAAAAACCCCAGGTACCAGAGTTTCTCAAATGCTCCTAGAATTGGCCTTGTTATGAAATGTCCCTCATTGAGCCACCCATGAGAAAGCAAAAATAACGCAAGATTCAAATCTTGTCAAGTCTGAAAATGAGATAGAAATGTGCCTTTTCTTATGAAGCAAAATAATTTATACAAACTTTTCTTCCATTAAACAAAAATACAGACAATCTAGTGTAAGCTGAAGCAACCGCCTCACCCAGGGAACAGACAGGGCTGCCTTCCAGTTGAAGACTTACTATGTGCCAGGCATTGGGCAAACCGTTTTGCAGACCATTAGTTCATTTATTCCTCCCAACAACTTTATGAAATTATTATTCCCATTTTACAGATGAGGAAACTGAGAGCCAGAGAGATTTAACACTGCAAGTAGGTGCTGAACAAGAATTTCAACCTCTGTCTGACCAAAGCTTCTGCTCTCAGCCCTATAACTTAGTTGGGCAGGGTCTCCCTCCTCAGAGCAGATGCACGGAAAACCGAATGGTGGTTTTGTTTTGCAGAGCGTCTAAGAATTAATCAAGCCTGAGAAGTAAGCCTGCAGTCGCTCTGTGGCTTAGGTCAACAAGTGCCTGCCGGGCCAGGAAATGCCAATGGTACACAGGGCCTTTGAGTCCCGGGAAAGAGACAGTGGCCTGCACCTGAAGCTGCATGTTTGTCTGGGTGAGCTCTTCTGCTTTCTTTTCCAGTGACATCACCCAGACCTTCCTCTTCTGTCTGCAGCGGGTGGCGGCCGCCCGGTTCCGTTCCAAAAATTTCCGCCGCCTCTCGTCAGGATCCTCATCCACCACCCTTCGCCGGCGCCCTCCTGTGGGCTGGGGCGGCTGTATTGTCTGGGTGGGCTGCATCTGTTGTGTTGCTGGTGAAACCTGCTGGGGAAGAGAGGGAGGAAGTGATGGGGAGAGAGAAGGGATGGTTGGGTAAGGTGTTGAAATGTGAAGTACAGGCAGCCCCTTGCTTTAGTTAGCACATCAAACTTGTTTTGCGAAGAATGAAGTCAGCAGTGAAGTCACACTCATGAAGAGGAAAAGCATCATCCAGCTATCTCCTATGATATTTTGGCAAGATACAGGGATGACGTGTGAAAAGAGAGTCAAGTAGACTCCCCCCACCCCCCGACTGGCATTTGGCTGAATCATGATGAAAGAAACACTTTTCTTCCTCCTTAGATGTTAAAAATGTTTTATTTAAGGTGCTTTGTAAAATTTGAAAGTGCCCATGTATGGTGATGGATGAAAACAGAGAGGTAGGGGTGACTGTCACTGCATTGATGGGTCTGCTGTCATCTGCAGAAATCTCCTCTAGGGCAGGTTGTGAATGCCGTTCATTCTAATGGTATCAAAACCCTGTTCCTAGAGTACACCTCAGGGGTGGCATCACCACTGTGACTCTTATCAAAAGAACCCTGTGAAGCCTGGAAAGCACCTGAAATCCTTTTGTCACTACATCACAGTTCTTAATGCAAAGGTCTTGTGGGACCAAACTCCATTTGGGTCTCTCTCCTCCTCCGAGCCTGACCAAGGCTGATGGGATTACAGGAGATGGTGACTGGGTGAATTTCTAGGTGACTGGGAAGCGTGACCTCTGAAAGTCCATCCTGAAGCAGCACTGAGCCCTGTTAATACATGGTGTCTACTGACATGGACGGATGGTTGTATGGCATCATCTATTATATTATAAGGAAATCCCAGGAGTGGCAAAGCACTTTATTAAAAAGTTTTACTATGCTTCTAAGTTCCTTGTAAGGTCTGCAAGAGGTTCAGCAACATGTAGGGTTTCAGGGACCCCCACACGTATAGCTTTATTTCCCTTCATATAGCAGACACTCAGCACCTAGTGAAATTTCTATGACTGACTCTTTATGTGTCTGAACACCTAATGCTTCCCTAATGCACTTCACTCCTTCCCCTTTCTTCATTCTCAATAAAGGGTTTTTTTTTTTCCCCCTTCCCTCTCATTGCTCAGTCACTCAGGCTTATGGTGTAATACCTATAAATTTGTTTTACAAGAGGCATTTAACCTGCAGAAATAACAGGCAAAAAGTTTTAAAAATGAAACCCAGCCACCTTTTCTACCACATTCCAACCCTATGATTGAAACCAATCAGAACCACTATACTTGTACTAATAATGGCTCCTGGTTGCCCATCAGCTGACTAACGATATATTTTAATCCTAAACTCTACCAAACCATACATTACTAAAGAATTAGGCTTAGGACTGAAATTGGATTGCATCTCAGTAATTTTTTTTTTAAAGCAAAGACATTTTCTAAAACTGTTTATTGGCAATTCCTCTCCTGACGATCATAAAGGAATAACAAAATAAACTGTCTAAGATCTTACTCACTAGGGCTGCTGCTGAAAATTTAATCCTTGTTATTGGCAAATGTTTAGCACTAGTCATTTCAGATGCAGTAACCTCTGAGCTAACCACTGCAAAGCAAAGCAGTAGGAAAGAACGCGCTAACCTGGCTATTTTTGCCTTTACCATTTCTTTGTGTGAATTAACAATCTCTCATTGCCAGCCCTAGACAAGGCTCTTAAGTAGGCAAAACTGGGGTTTAACCTTCATTATGGAGACCTCTCTTTCAATTCTGTATTCTCCCATGCTAACTTTAACCAATGTTTATCACCTGATATTTTTCCTCTGCCTTAACCCAAATGGGTAAGGTACATGGTGATTTCAGGCTTTGTCCAGGTTCAGGGTCAAGGTGTGGCTTGGTTAAGTGAAATTCCTGGTGACCTAGGAGTGATACCAGGACTCTGAAATTATATCCTGATATGCAGGTGGATCACAAGAAGCCAGGAGAAATTGCAAATGCAACCCTAAGACCAGAATTTATGTCTCTGATAATTATTGTTACTTAGCATTATCTTTTTAAAACGGCATTTTGTCCGGGGTAGGGTGGGAGGGATAAATTGGGAATATGGGATTAACAGATACATACTGCCATATATAAAATGGATTACCAAGAAAGATTTACTGTATATCACAGGAAACTATGTTCATAGTTCTTGTAATGAATTATAATGGAAAAGAATAAGAAAGAATATAGATATATACATATATATGCACAACCGAATTACCTTGTTGGACACCTGAAACTAACACAATATTGTAAATCAACTATACTTCAGTAATAAATAAATAAATAGAATGGCATTATGTTGACACAGATTCTCTGAAAATTCTGATCAAAAACAATTAATTGTAATTTCAAAAAGAATTTATTCCAAGTCATCTTAGAATCTCAGAGTTGGATGACCTTAATAAACTTCTACTCCTGGTGTTCTGACAATCCGAATTTCATTTCATCAACCAAGTTTATACATTTTAAGAGGAGCATTTTGAATATGCTCTAAATAATTTTGTTCAAATTTCAACAAGACCAACCTGGTTTTGTTGAAAAAAGCAACTTTATGTAGCCAATTATAAAAGCAATTAACTGACTGCATATACAATTGGCCACTTATTGACTTGACATGGAGGCCAATTGGCTAATTGGTAATTAGCTAATGAATGTCTTTTATATTTAATGAACTGTTAAACTTGTCTATGAAGTAACCTGCCCATAAATGCAAGCAAAACTTTCGCTATCCATTTAAAAAGAAACAAGAAAGAAAGTACACATGTGAATCTATCTTTGATCTTGTAGTTTTCTTTTTCCCCTTCTAAATATATGACCTACATTGGCACATGATTAAAAAGGTGCTTTGGATAGCATTTTATTGATTGCTAAACTATGTGCTAAGCTTCTATCACATTATTTCAGTTTGAAATTAATCCTGGCTAACATGTACTGAAAACTGTGCCAAGGGCTAAACATTCCCTTATTTAATACTCCTAAGTCTATGGGCTTAGTCTATTAATGCCCCATTTTGCAGATGGAAAAACTGATGCTTAGGGAGGTTCGTCTACTGACCTCAGTCACACAAGTAAGGTGGGAAAAGGATGAAAGTTTTCTCATTCCAAAGCCTGATTTCTTATTTGCTATGTAGAATACTTCTAAGAATCTTTGCAAAAGTAAGCTTACCTAACAAATAATCTTAACTATTGAACAGATTAGAAAGCTGCTTATGGATAACTCATTTTGTGGGTGGCTTTCTAGGTTTGGTGTATGTTGGAGGAGGCAGGAATGTACAAGCTCTAGAAGCTGCCTGATGAGAGGTACAGAGTCAGACGATGGAAGAGACAGTGAATAAGTGTCATTTGGTGATCCCAAGCTTCCAACATCATTCTGACCCAACTGGTTGAAACCTGGGTGGGTGGAAGGAACTGACAAAGGTCATTTCACTTGAAGGTTCAAAGTGCCCAGGGCGAGCCATGCTCCTAGACATGCCCTTCATCCACTTACTGAAACTCACTCGGGTACAAGGACCCGCCTCTCTTCTTGGGCTGGGTGACATAATGTCTGCCTGGTCCCCCGACCCCCTTCCAGTGTGTCTAAATGCTGGCTTTCTTTCTAGCCACTCCTGGTGACTTTCCACCTCTGGGGTTTGGCCTTTCTCTTGAACTGATCGGCTACAGAGCTTGGCTCTCTGTCTGCTCCCTCCAACGCATTTCTCATTGGGTGGGATGAGTCATCTCTCTTCAACATTCACAAAGCACCTTACACCCTAACATCCATCACTGAACCTTTGTCTGCCTGAAATTGTTACTCTTTATATTTTGAACATTTACTCTTATTTAGAAGATTGCCCATTGTATTTAATTTCCGTTTTACAGGTGACACAAGCGGGTCTCTAAGATATTATAAAGCACTGCAGCTAGAACCATGGTTAGAACGAACTTACCTTTCTCATTCTTTATTCACTTCTTTCATTACATGCTTAAATTCTTAATCCTCCATTTGTGTTACATTTTTAGGGTTAACTTTGTAATATACTACAAAAATAGATTTTGGAGAACTTGAAGTTTACCTTTTCCCTTAGAAACTAGACTTGATATTTATCATATTAGTTATAGAAACTGTGATCTGGGAGGGTCCTATGGGTAACGATTACCTCCTAGGAAATGAACAAAGCCCCTCAGAGTGTCAGAACACGTGGGCTTGTCAAGTAAGGTTGCTGCCAAGGAGCCCCTCATTAGAGCCAGCACTGTTAATGAGAAAGGGGAAAGAGATCATGAAAGAGGTCTACCTGTGCTTGGTTGCCGGAGTGCAGGGGTGGGTGTGGCGAGGTCTGGTGATGTGCTGGGTGTGCATGAAGGTGGGAGTGGGAGTGATGATGTGGGTGGTTCTGCTGGTGATGGGGTTGAGGATGAGGATGGTGGGCTGGGTGCTGGTGCTGGTGCGGGTAGGGGTGATGGGCCGGCAGTGTCTGGTGCTGATGTGGGTGTGAGTGCATGTGATGGTGTGGCGTCTGGTCCTGCCGGGAGCCCATCATTTCCATCATGTGTCCCATGGTGTTCATATTCCCATTTGACATGGCAGCAGGGTGGTGAGTCAATGCAGCCTTCAACCTCTGAAACAGAACAAAAGAAGACGGGACAAATGAGGCCAGCTGTGTATACAACAGGGATTTTGAATCAAAATGACTCATAGTTTCAATTTTATAATATTTAGCAGCTTCCCGGGTGGCTCAAGTGGTAAAGAATATGCCTGCCAATGCAGGAGGCATAGGAGATGCAAGTGTGATCTCTGGGTCAGGAAGATCCCCTGGAGGAGAAAATGGAAACCCAATCCAGTATTCTTGCCTGGGCAATCTCCATGGACAGAGACGCCTACTGGGCTACAGTCCATGGGGTTGCAAAGAGTCACAACTGAAGTGACTCAGCATGAACATGTAATGGTACTATTATTAACATTTTTTTCTTACTGGGTAGCAGTATGGCTTTTATATAAATTTCAAATTTTCATATGTATTAGAGTAGGTAGGCGTGTCAATGTCAGCCATGAATGTTAATTAATTCAACTGACACTGCAAATGAGCAGGATACTCTAGACACTTTACTAAAAGGTATTCCTACTATCCAATTGTTCACCATATCTTATTGACAGCCAACTGCAAGTATAAACCCAATGGAATCATTCAATATGACAATGTCACTGAACAAAAAGCCCATATAAAATGGCACTGTCACAAGATAATGAGTCACAAGAATAAAAGATTTTTGCTTTTCAAAAGATTTCTCAGACCCAAAGAGAAAAGAACTCCAAATCTCAGAATCTAGGAACAATTTTAATATTATTTTAAGTCTTCAAATTAGATTAGAAATCCATAACTTTGGGAGGCAGTGTAGATCTTTCCATTTGTTCCTATGACACTTCTCATATCATAATCCCTCTGATAATCTAATATTCTCACACAATAATGTTTTTCTGACTTTAAAGTTGAAGAATATGGACCATTGCACTTCTACAGCTTCTTTGATGACCATACCACAGGGCAGGTACAAAATCATCAACCATCAACAAGCAAACAGACATATACACAATTAAATTCTCCTTGAATCTAACCCCTAAGCAGGGGTCAGCAAACTTTTCAATAAAGAAGTCAGATAGTAAATATTTCCATCATTGAATGCCTTAAGATCTCTCACAACTACTCAGCTCAGCCCTTTCAGCACAAAAACAGATACAGACATTCTGTAAACAAATGACCATGCCGAGTTTCAACGCAATTTTACTTAGGGACAGGATATCTGAATTTCATATAACTTCCACATGTCACAAAATACCATGCTACTTTTGATTTTTTTCAATCATTTTAAAATGTCAAAACATTTTTAGCTCCTGTGCTGTGCAAAATTAGGTAGTGGTAAAGAATCAGTTGGTAGTCAAGTTGTTTGCAGTTTCTTATACACAGACAATTATCATCATATCCTGAGGGGCACAGTGTACTAGGTACTGTATAATACAGTTACTCCTTGGAAATGTATCTTCTACAGAGATGATAGTCTAGTTGGCAAGCTTATGTTGGCTTCATAAAGTATTTACTAGGGAACTCAAAGTTCTCTTCTGATTTGCATTCTTATCTGATTGATGATGATAGTGTATAATCACTGCAAATGGAAGAGTGGTATTTAAATGATGATCAAAGCTACCATGTGCCAGCCCTATACAATATTAATGATTCTCAACTGGTCAGAGTAAACTATTGATAAGAATAAATTCAATCCATAAAAATCTTTAGTTAAATATAAAGAGCCTCCACTTGTTTAAAAACAAAAAACAAAAAGATAAAAAATAGGCTGGTGGGCGGGTTGGGGGCAGGTAGAGGTTGACAAACCATATGTTAATATTCAATAATCATTGAATACAGTTCCTGCATCCTGATGCAGCAACCACTGAGCCCAACTGCCTCCTCCTTAACGAGCAACATCTACGATACAACATCTACTACACGGGAGCTACTGAACTGCATCAGTATCCTGAAGAAGTTAAGTTTCCTGAATCCCTGGGAAAGATTAGGTGCTGCATATTGTGTTTATTACTAAACAGAAAAGTAAACAGATACTCCTCACCTCCAAGTTTTAGAAATGAGTTCATTGTTTTTATAAAAACACTCATTATAAAAAATTTAAGTGATGCTTAAAAGTACAGTGAAGTCAGTAACCAGTGAACCAAGTGCATTGCTTAAATTTGGTGGGTGAACAGTATTCCAGACAGCTCTCTCTGTAGAGATGGAACAACAGGTAGAGTCATTTCATAACAGTGCAATCACCATGGCACATGGAGTCAGAAAACTCTTATTTGAAGAGAACATAAGCAAAAGAAGCAAAAATTGGATGAATTGCTGGACTTTGGATATATGTTTCTTAAATCCAAGAAAACTTTGTAAGTGATATATTCAAACTTAAAAGTGAAGAAAATTATGAAAAGATATTATTATGAAAAGATCATTATTTTGAAACTGACATACCAAATAGTATTGATAGATTTTTCTATACTATTCTTTATAATTTTATTATTATAAAATATACAGCTGCATAGTAAAAAAAACAAACTACTACAAGACTATGTGGTGAAAAAGTAAAAGCCACCTGCCTACCTTCTTCCTTCTTAGCCCCATTCCTCAGATGTAACTACCAAGTATCTGCTGACATATCCTCAGCGTTTATCAGAACATGTTGTGTAAGCATCTTTATAATGATATATGATTTCGTATCTTGTTTTTTTTCTACTTCAACAATATATATCTTTGACAACATGCCCTATCAATAATAGCTAATAATACTGTCTGGCATCAATTGAGCGCTCACTCTGTGACACTCCTCATTCTGTGTTTTATGAGTATTAACTCACTTAATCCTCAGAACAATCCGGCAAGGCACAAAGACGGACTAATCCATGTGCCCAAGCTCTTGCCGCTGGAGAGGAGCAGGGCTGAGCTACCTCCAGACCTGTTCTCTGCCAGGACAGAAGGAGCTGGAAGGCTTGCTGTCAAAAACAGGAATAAACTGTATTGTGCCACCTCCCCATCATCAAAAGGAAACACAAAAAGAAGAGCAGTGCCCAGAAAACAATAAGATTATTTCTGCACAGTGTAGCACACAAGTGGAAACCCAGTGTATCTTGCTTGTTCCAAAACTTGGCAGAGGTAAGGGTGGGAGGTAACAATCTCCAGGCAGCTCAGCTGCAGAAAAGGACCAACCAGAGCTTAGCATCATCATCTCTCTTGTTAGATTTTTGTTGTTGTTGTTGTTATATTTATTAAGAATAGGTACTTGTATTCCACCCCCAAACACAGATCTGACAAGGTCCAAGCATATCTTCTCTCTGGCCCCACTTCCTAACCTTCAGGTATATGACTGTTCTAGGTCTTTTCAATGTTCAGAGGATGAAGTTCAAGCCCTTAATACAGCCTATGCATAGGCACTGAGGAGTGTGGCCTGGCATTCCCACCAATGCTTCTATTTGATTGTCTTCTTGCCTAGGATGATCTTTCCTTTTCCGCAGACACTCTAGAGCTTTAAGCAGCAGGACCCTCTTTAGTAAAATTCTCCCTGGTCTCTGCTCTAAACCAATTCCTATTGTTACAAGGCCCCAGCAGAACCATATTCCTCTTTGTAAAACTCAGTGTGTAGCTGTAGTTTTTAGTGTGATCATTTAATTAACATCCCCCAACCATTCCAGATGATAAGCATCCTGACAGCAGGAACCACATTGGATTTTGCTTGGTATTAAACTCATAACTTTAGCACGGAACCTAGTATACATATTGGGGCACTCAATTCATATTTCTGGAATGAATCAATGAATGAATGAAACTTTGTGAAGCTTATGATAAGAGTGTAGCATTTTCATTTTGGATCCTTGGTGGTGGTATTTGTAAGAAAGGATAATTTTACCAGTCATCAAAGGTCAAGAGAATGACTGCAGAAGTCATACAGGCAGATTGGCTATTAAAGTACTGTCAAAAGACCTCCCTGCTCCATCCCCAGTCTGCCCTCTAAAAATGATAACAGAAAAAAAAGAAGAAAAGAAAACACACACACACAAAAGGAATGTGCATTAACTTTATCTTGGTATATTTTCCCTGAAAGAGTGGCAAGGAAAATTGAAAAGCTGTTAAACAGTTGGTCACTATGTTATCCTTTCAATGCTACAAACAACTTTTTCACCTTTAATTAGGTGCAAATGTTGCCTGACAAATAAATACTATGCACCAGATCTTCATCTCTCAAATAATTAGCTTGTACTGTTAAGGGAAATTACTTGATTGCCTCAAGTCTATTCTTGCAGGTTTCATGCCAAGGCCATAATACTAATAAGGCTTATAACATTCCATTTAACTATTCATTCAACAAATATTTACTGGGCACTAATGTTAGGCACATTATTATTTGCCCACTACCTGAAGGAAATCAGAGATGTATAAAAACCAAAGCTTTTCCAAAGCGCTGGAAAGAAAACACACATGCTCGAGTGTGGAAATGAAGACTTTTTAAGAATCCCTTAGAGCAGTGGTCCCCAACCCCTTGGGCGCCAGGGCCTGGTTTTGTGGAAGACAATTTTTCCACAGACCAGGGGTGGGAGGGATGGTTTCGGGAAGATTCCAAGCACATTATATTTATTGTGCCTTTTTTATACTGTTCACAGGATTCTTGTGGCAAGACTACTGGAGTGGTTGGCCATTCCCTCCTCCAGTGGACCACATTTTGTCAGAACTCTCCACTATGGCCCATCCATCTTGGGTGGCCTTGCACAGCATGGCTCATAGCTTCATTGAATTATGCAAGCCTGTTTGCCACGGCAAGGCTGTGATCCATGAAGCAGAGGATGAGATGATTGCATAGTATCACTGACTCCATGGGCACGAACTTCGGCAAACTCTGGGAGATGGTAAGGGACAGGGAGGCCTGGCGTGCTGCAGTCCAGAAGGTCACAAAGAGTTGGACACGACTGAGTGACTGAACAACAAAATGAAAGTGAAAGTCACTCAGTCGTGTCCGACTCTTTGCAACTCCAGGGACTATATACTCCATGGAATTCTCCAGGCCAGAATACTCTTCACCAGTGGATCTTCCCAATCCAGGGATTGAACCCAGGTCTTCTGCATTAAGGTGGATTCTTCACCAGCTGAGTCACCAGGGAAGCCAACAACATATTTATTGTACACTTTATTTCTATTATGACATCAACTCCACTCAGATCATGGGGCATTAGATCCTGGAGGTGAGAACTCCTGGCTTAGAGAATCCCAGGCCTGTGGGTTGAGCCCACTCCTAGAGCAGCAGCTGGCATCATCTTTAAAATAAAAAAATGACTATAGCGCTGCTCTGCATATGCTACATTGAATATTCTCCATGTCATTTCTAAACAGTGTGGGGCACTTCTCAAAGTCCTAAAGAGCCTGCTGCTTTTCTGTATCCTGGTGCCAACAAGAGTCATCGCCCTGTAAATCATTAAAAAATACCAAATAAAGATATTTGTATCCCTCTCTCTTAGGGATGATAAATGACCAGCAAATGAGTCCAAGCTGTATTTTGCAGAATGATTCTTTCTTTTTGAAACTGAACTGTGTCTTATTTTAAATAACATTCTACCCAATGCCAAGAAAAGGCAAGGGAGAGAGAGGGAAATTAATGAGCAAATAAACATATATTTTTCAACTATAAAAACCAAGGCTATTATGGAGGTGTGACGGCAAGAAAGGAAAAAAAAAAAGATTCTGTTTACTTTCTCTCGTCCTCTACCATATCCATTTATTTGAAAGAGCAAATCAGGAGAGACAGCAAGAAGCCCGACACAGCTGGTTTCAGTCAACAGGGGTCATTTTCATTCAGTCTGTGTATTTTATAAGCTCCTTGTACACTGTTCCTGATGGAAGGGTGGGCCTGCTGCCTGGGATCTGAGTCCTGGTGAGAAACTAGCTATCTACTTCATCCCATACCCTGCATAACTGCTGCCATGATGGCCTAGGGCCAGTGCCCCTCCAGCTCAGCTCAGCTTTGTATCCCAGCATGTCTTGTGAGGACCAGGTATACGCAAACGTCATCACGTCCACATGAGTGCTCGCGTGTTGGCCTGCGTGAGCTCGCACGCACGACGCACCCACCCACACCCACCCCAGGCAATTTATCTCCCATTAACAACTCACTCTTGCCAATTAGAAACATTTGTGAAACTGTAAAAACATTTCTTCTCCATCTTCAGCTCAGCAGATTGCTTATGCTTTACAGACTCTGAAAGCCAAACCAAATTAAACAATTATTTGAAATTCAGTTGGGTGGGGTGTGTGGGCAGTTTTAATTAAAAACAGCTCTGGGTTTTCTTCCCGAAGAGAATGTGGTAACATCAAAATGTAGTGTTGCTGAGTTGACCACAAGTAAGAGACTATCTATATGAAAATAAGATAAAACCCATCTTTGTATTTCCTTTTGAATACAAAACAATTACCATCAGTGGCCACCCAAAGGTATTTCTGTAAATGTAATGTTTTCATCCTTTCTCCTCCTCAAACACAGCAAATCGGCTGAGGTGTAACACAGGCTTCTGAATGGTCAAAATGGTCAGTGGTGTGACACCCCAGAACTTTTCACTGAAGGAGGGCTGCAATATCAATGATTACTGACTGGCTGTAGGTATCAAGAACTTCTGAAATTGTCTCTGAATTCACAAAAAAATAATTGATATTTATCCACTGAATTTTATGACTATACATGGTCAGTTTGGATCCCAAAATCCTTCCCAAAGTTGGAGAGAGGTAGGGATGAGAGGGTGCCATGGAGAAGTTATACCAACTTTGATCTTAATTCTGTCAAAGTAGAAATTGTTTGCTTGTTTGGCCAAGCTGCATGTGGGATCTTAGTTCCTTGACCAGGGCTCAAACCCGCGCCCCCTGCATTAGAAGGGTAAAGTCTTAACCACTTGACCACCAGGGAAATCCCTAATGCAAGTATAGTTTTAATGCCCAGATTCACATCTCAGCTTCAGGATGTCTGTTGAG